ATGCTCTTGAACAGAATCTTTGTTCGATATTCAGTCACGCAGGACATTCGAATTTATCTGAAAACGTAAGTGAACAATCTGAAAACACTCTAGTTGAGTGATTTAACCCAATAATTGTTACTCTCGGAGAATAAAGCTTAAATACCAATGTTTAGTCGTGGGAGAAACCCTTTATCAGCAGGCTCCTGACCATATCACGTTGAAATACCAGTTCATCTACGATCACCGAAGTTAAGCTACGTCGAGCCCTGTTTGTATTTAGATGGATGACCGCTTGGAAATATAGCTCCTGCAAGATTGGAGCTGTGACTAGTGTAATGGATACTGGTTCGGGATTCCACCTGGGTTCATTATATTCTCTTACGCGGAAATACACTTGGGAAAAATATGAATCAACCTCTCCTCCTCTGGTTAATTAGTAAGACTTGTATCACTAAATCCATTATTATCTAAAACAAATATACCCACCAACATTTCGACATTAAAAAATCCATAGGAGTTGATATGTCGTTAAAGAGAAGTTATCAATTTGTTTATTAAAAAGGAAATATTTCAGAAATATTGATAATTTCTCAAAATATGCCTAAAATCGTCTGGAGTTTAAATTTATAAAATTCCAGTGACATGCATATCAGTGATAAATTATTAATAGACAAAAGTATCCTGACTTAGGAAGTGATTGTTTCACATGAAAGTAAATTACGTTTTGTCCTGTTCTGGTTCTTTCATCCTCTTGCGTTTCCTATTTAAATATATACACGTTGATGACGAATGTTGCAAACGCTGGAAATAATACGATTAGTATAACTATGACTTTACCATAATTCTTAAACTTCGGAATTGGCTGATTGATTTGTTTTTTTATGTCTTATCAAGAATTTGTGAGTTATTTCAAGTCGAAGCATATTTTTTATTGTAAAACATTTTTATGAGTGAATATTGCATTAAAAATTATTCAGACTATTGTCCTCAACTTTGTCGCCATATTTATTACAACGTTTCGGCCGTTGTACTCTCCGGCCTTCGTCAGGTGGTTGCAATGTCGAACTGAACACTTTATTTCGCTCACTAGGGCAGACTGTTCTATTTCCACGTGCCATGTTTAATGTATGTCAGTTATCTCCTGTTAAATTCTCTCTCCAAGTTCTCCACTGCCTTAACCGGGTATTGAACTCACACTCTTTGAGTCCTGTCACTTGATTTAACGAACATCTTTATCCACTGTGCCATATCTGTGTGAATTTCTGGGTATTATAAACCTAATGTCCTCAGCAACTATTTTTGGTAATTTGGATTTTAAAAATGCTACACTTATAAAAAAGAAAATAACTCAGATAGAATGAAAATCCTCGAGAGTGCTGCCATTGAATATTACCCAAATATTAATCTACGTACAGGCTTTTTCCCTATTTCACCTTTCTTTCAGAATTGCCACTCTCCCAAACAAACGTACACCCCAATATTGTGAAATCAAAAGAAAATGGTTGAATCACAGTAACACACTAATAATAACAATATCTCCACACGTGACAGTAATTGACGTAATTTTAAATTAACAGTATGAAAATAGCGTTCTCTAAATTCTTCTAGTTTCTAAGGCCATTTTGTTTTTGTTATTATTAGTTACTTTGTTTAAATAAATTCATTTCGTTTTTTGCCTTGAGAAAGCCCACATTGGACGAAACGCGACGGCAACTATTACAGTTTTCCTATTATCATTTATGTATATTTTTTAATGATTCTAAACAATATCACACACATATATATATATATATATATATATATATATATATATATATATATATATATATATATATATATATATATATATATATATATATATATATATATATAATCTTGAAGAAGAGATTAATTCCCTTGATCTGGCATTGAGTAAAAAACGAATTAAAATATAGTGTTAAAGAAATAACATTGGAAATGGGTGTTAAATAATAGCATTGGAAAATCTTGTATTTGACAAAACAATTCTGTCAGATATTCAAGTATTTCGGCAATCACGAATACTCAAAGTAACAAACACGCACATATGTATTATTTTTTATTCGAAATTATTTCATATTAATCTAAATGTTAATTTTAGTAATAATATATGTTTGATTCGTTGATTTTTTGCATCCATTAAAAATGGTCAATTAATCCTGCTGACCTGAGGCCGAGTGGTCTAAAGCACGCTAGGTAAAGTGGGTTCCTTCTTTAAAGCTGGATACAACTTGAAAATTTTCCAGAGGGAATATTTTCATAATTCATTAAGTCTCTCAAATGTGCAGGTCGGTAGACGTAACGTCACTGTCAACACACACACACACACACACACATACACACACACACACACACACACACACATATATATATATATATATATATATGTAATTAGAAGAAAGACTTCACTTGTGCTTCATATAAATTATATAATAGAGTAGATAAGTCGGTTAATAAGACAAAGGCAAATGAAAGGTTACCGATATGATTAGTACGAAAAACATTTATTAATATTAAGTACATGGCAGAAATGAAGCACGAAGATTAAGGTTCCAAGTCCGGAATTTTCGGACACACCAGTGTCCTTCATCAGCGGATGCGAGAAGAAAGGTGGAGACTCACAAACAGTAGTTCTGGAGGCTAGGCAGAATCCTTTTTGTAGAGGAAATGTCATTAGAATCTATATCTCTAAAGCCAACTCTATGGTTAAGGTACGTAGATGATACCTTCATACTCTGGCCACACCGGGAAGATGTTCAGGTTCTACTGGACCATGTGAACTCAATAAGATCTTTGATACAGTTCACGATGGAGAAAGAGAGTAACAACACACCCCATTCCTGGATGTTCGAATATCTCGAACAGAGCATGGTTCAAGACATCCGTATACCGTAAACAGACATTCACTGGACAGTACCTCATTTTCAACTCCCACCATACAGCGTAAAGAAAGGGATCGTCCGCTGCTTACAACACCGAGCAACCCTACAACATGGCAGCAGCCCCCCCGCCTCCCCCCCAAAAAAAACAGGGATAGTCAGGTACAAAAGGAAGAGAACAATACTCATAAAAAAATATGCCTGCCTTATGTGAAGGGGTGAGACCCCCCCCCATAGAGGAGAACATGACTAAAGACTATATATACACCATCCAGTGCAGCTGTGGAAAGAAATATAAAGAGGAGACAGGCCTCCCCCTTAAGGTAATGCTTCAAGAACACTAGAAAGCTGTAACACGAGGAGAAGTGGAAAAATCAGGCGTGGCTGACCACATATGGCGAGAAAAGAGAGATCAACGCCGTCTGTGGGAACAATTTGAGATCATAGACAAAGAGCACCATTGGAAAATTCGTGAACTTAAGGAATCAGCATATATGCTATGCCACAAACATTTCCTGAGCAGACCAAGCATAGAAATGAATACAAAATGGGACCCAATAATAAGGAGTGCCAGAGAAAAGCGATAATAACAAGAAAAATTGCAATATGAGCTCAGATAATAACATGATATGATAACAGCAAAAAATTGCAATTAAGTCGTTGGTTAGTTCCAGTGACAGGACCCAAAACGTGTGAGTTCAATACCCGGTTAAGTCAGAGGGGAATTAACAGGAGATAACTGATAACTGGCACGTGGAACTAGAACAGTCTACCCCAGTGAGCGAAATAAAGGGTTCGGTTCGACATTCCAACCACCTGAAGAAGGCTGGAGCGTACAACGACCGAAACGTTGTAATAAATATGGCAACAAAGATGAGGACAATAGTGTGAATAGTGTAAATAGTGAGTTTGTGATTCCTTGAAATAACATAATATATAATTTTGCAATTAAGAATGACTTTCTAATATAATTGAAAACTTCTCTTGTTTGGAACAAGGACAACGCGCGCCTTGTTCCTATTTATATAACTATATCTGAACTATGAAAAAAGTAATTTTGGCAGCGTAATATGTTATTTATGTAATTTGTTATTCCTCCTTGTCTATGGCATTTCATAGTACAAAACATCGAAGTATGCACAAAACAATAAATAAGAAAAAAATAATGTAAGGAAAAAAGGGGAAATACCTATAAACCTATATACATTGGCTTTCTCATCGTGTTTTATCGAGGTAAATACATAAAAGCACAGAAAAGAAAATACTTATACTTCCACATAGGTCGACTGGTGAAGGACAGACAGAGGTGAAAACGGAAAAAAAATCTATTTCAATACATGTAGAAAGCCAGCCAAATCGTGTCTGTATCTCTGTGCCGCCTACCGACAAAACTACCCTTCTACTCACCTTTAATTATTTTCTTTCTTTTTCTTCCTCCTTCTCTCTAAACTTATATGTTTTTTTTTTTCTTTATTCGCTTCATTTTCTTACCTGGCGCTCCAATCATTATCTTCCGCATCTCTTTTCTCCATATATTTTCATTTTTTTTCCGCCTCACGCTTTTTTCCTCCCACTCTTCAAAAATATTATTCTTTCTTTCTTTGTTTTTTTCCTTCTCTGTAATCGTAACTCTTTCTTTTCTTATTCTCATCTCTCCTTATTCTTTCGTTATTTTCTCGCCTTTTCACAATTCCTTCGGTCATTTCGTCCAAAATATTCTTTTTGTCTTTCTTAGTGCTTTCTTGCTCCTCTAATTCACCCCTTCATTTTATTTTAATCTTTCTTCGATCCACTCTTTCGTAGTTTTCTTCTTGCTTTTCCCGTATTTTCTCTGGATTTCTTATTCTCCTTCATTTTCATTTTTTACCTTAATTCTTAACTTTCTTTTTATTTCTATCTTAATTTCTTATAATTTAATTTATTTTTCCATTTCTATATTTTCCTGATTTCGCCATTTCTCTTTTCTTCCTAATCACGCTTCATTTTCATTTTTGATTCTTTCTTGTTTCTTTTCTGCAAATCATTTACATTCTCTTTCTACACTTTTTTATTTTCTTTCACTTGTTCTCTTCTTTTCATATTCTCATTTATTTCAATTGTTTCTTTCTTTTACTTTTCCACAACTTACTTCTTCTAAGCCATTCATTTCGTTTCTTTACCTCGTTTCATCTTTTTGCCTCTATTGTTCTTTTCAGCCCTAAAACAACTGTAAAATCAATAGAACATTGGCTCAAGTATGCAGCTGTAGATTACATTGGAATTCGTCTGTGACTAAGATAACTTTAGCGACGGAAACAGGGATGGTTTTCAATACGTTTATTTACCGCATCTGGCATTTGACGAATATACGTTATGCGATGGAAAAGAAAATGTACAAAACTTGTATTAAAGTTAATTATATCATTAGTAAAACGAAATATTAGAGGAATTTCTGATATAAAATATTTTTCGGAAAATAAGACGTGCCAGTTTATCGGATATATTATTCTTTTAATCCAAATGTTTTCGAAAAATTGTAAAGTCGTAATTGAGCAGAAATTTAATCAGATATTTGAAAAATTAGTATGTTTTTTTCTAGCCGAAAAAGCACTCAAAACATCAAAATAAGGATATATCTCATCCCTAATAAAGACAAACAGATTTACTGTCAATTAATTTGGTTCGTTATTTACATGATTCGGACTATTATCCTCATCTTTGTCGGCTTATTTATTACAAAGTTTCGGCCGTTGTACGCTCCGGCCTTCTTCAGGTGGTTCCAATGTCGAACTGAACCCTTTATTTCGCTCACTGGGGTAAACTGGTCTAGTTCCGCTTGCCATGTTTAATGAATGTCAATTATAAGTTATCTCCTGTTAATTTCCCTCTGAAATTTATCCACTGCCTTAGCCAACTACTGAATTCACACTCTTTGGGTCCTATCACTGGATCTTACTAACACTTAATCCCGCCCGATAAAATTCTTTAAAGCGGAAAATAAACTAAAACAAATATTTTAAAAATAGACTAAAATCGGTTAATTATCGAATTTCCCAAATTATTTAGTTTTTATATATTAGTGTAAGAATTTATTTATGCTAAAAGCTATTTTGAACGAAAATTACATTTTTGGTTGTTGATTGTTTTTTTTATGGCATATCAACGTCAGTGGGTCATTTAATGCCAATATCATTTTTAAAATAGATTCATTGCGATAGTTTAGAAAAAAAGGTATGTACATAATATACAGTAGCGTCCAAAACTAAGGGACAAAATTTTAAAACCTAATATTTGTTAGAAATAACAACTGTGAAAAGCTGAAATTTTGACAACTGGTAGTCGTTATCATCCATAATAATATACTAAAATTTGAATCATTTGCAAAGGATAGAAAAAGAATTATAACAATTATTTATTTATTTTCAAAATAGGATCGTCCAAAAGTAAGGGACAAAATTGAGAAAAACAATGTAAACAGTATGCTATATTCAAAATGTTTGATTTCCCCTAAAGAATAAGTCTTACTTAGTCATTTGTAAACTTTGCATCAGCCGGCACCATGGCGAAACGCCAAAAACTTGATTACTCTGTGAGACAAGCTATTGTGAAGCTACACAAGGAAAAGCACACCATTAGAGAGATTTCAGAGAAAGTGAAACGTTCCAAGAGTGTTGTAGGCAGGGTTGTTAAATCCTACAATGATACTGGCAAAATAGTGCTTTTAAAACCGGCAGACCCCGCAAAACTTCGGCAAGAGAAGATCGAATAATGCAGCATATGTCATTAAAGGACTGTTTTAAGTCTTGCACAGAAATTAAAAGGATTATGAATAGTACCTCATGTGTTAATGTGTCAAGACAGACTGTTTGTAGACGACTGCAAGAAATAGGGCTGTTTTATCGAACCCCAGGGAAGAAACCACTTGTTAGTTCGAAGAATAAGAAGAAGAGATTAGAGTTTGCAAACAGGTATGTAATTTGGACATATGAAAATTGGGCAAAAGTATTTTTCAGTGATGAAAGCAAGTTTTATTTATTTGGAAATGATGGAAAAACAATGTAAAGAGACGTATTGGTGAAAGATTAAGTGCAAAGTGTACTAAGAAAACTGTCAAGTTTGGGGGCGGAAGCGTCATGGTATTTGGAATGTTTTCTAGCCAAGGTACAACGCCTCTTGACCGGTTATAAACTCGTGTAAATGCGCAGATCTATAAAAACATTGTTCAAGATCATGTTGTGCCAATCATACAGAATTCAGGTTTCGATAGGGCTACCTTTATGCAAGATAATGCCCCATGTCACAAGGCAAAGGTGGTAATGAGTTACCTGAGCGAGCAAGATTTGGAAATTATGGATTGGCCACCGCAAAGTCCTGACTTAAATCCAATAGAAAATCTTTGGAAGAGCTTAGGAGTGAAAGTTATGGAAAGAAATCCCACTAACACGGAGGATTTATGGGTGAAGATTCAAGAAGAATGGTCTAAAATTAGTATCGAGAATTGTCAAGAACTGATTCGTTCTTGTAGTCGAAGAAGTGCAGCTGTCATTGAGAGCAAGGGGTCATTTACTAAATATTGATTGTACATGTATTTTTATTGTTTTTTGCCGTTTACATTGTTTTTCTCAATTTTGTCCCTTACTTTTGGACGTTCCAAATTTGAAAATAAATAAATAATTGTTATAATTCTTTTTCTATCCTTTGCAAATGATTCAAATTTTAGTATGTTATTATGGATGATAACCACTACCAGTTGTCAAAATTTCAGCTTTTCACAGTTGTTATTTCTAACAAATATTAGGTTTTAAAATTTTGTCCCTTTAGTTTTGGACGCTACTGTATATATATATATATATATATATATATATATATATATATATATATATATATATATATATATATATGAACCATTTTTCAATTACACATATTTTTGAGTACAATCAAACTAAAGATTGTATAGCTGTTTGTATTACTGGTAATTTTTTAAAGTATTGCTGATAATAATTTTTCCTTTAAAATATATTTATATTAATAATTTTTTTTATTACAAAGTATTTCTGGTATTAAAACCTATTTTTACACAAGTTTGGGTGTTAGCTATTTGCCCATAGCTGGGACCGTAACAGGTGATAGCAACCTGTGTCTGAGTGGACTTGGGGACACCAGCAATTAAGAGTTGTTTCCACGCTCCTCAAAACCTCCTGATCAGAGGCCTTGCTGTTGGACGTAGCTTATCGTCTTACTCAGTCCGCGGATGTAGTTTATTGTCGTACTTAGGACGGGAAAATTACATGGAAACAAAAATTTAATTTATGAAAGCTCAATAAGGTATATTTTGGAAACGAGAAATAATTACATTTTTTAAATATAAGTCCCTGGAAAGTATTAAATCAATTGCAAATTTATTTGAATTTTGAACTGAAAAACAAAAGTATCTGAAAGGGAAATTTTGATTTAAAATACGTTCATTATTATCTGTCTATATTTCTGAGATGAGGCATTATGTTCATTATTTATATTATTCGGACTATTGTCCTCATCTATTTCGCCATATTTATTATAATGTTTCGGCCGTTGTACGCTCCGGCCTTCTTCAGGTGGTTCCAATGTCGAACTGAACCCTTTATTTCGCTCACTGGGGTAGGCTGTTCTAGTCCCACATGCCATGTTTAAAGAATGTCAGTAATCAGTTATCTCCTGTTAATTTCCCCCTGAAAGTTCTCCACTGACTTAACCCAGAAATTCATCCCCATGTGTCCTCAAGGACACATGACGCAGTGGATAAAGTCGTTAGTTAGATCCAGTGACAGGACCCAATGAGTGTGTGTTCAATACCTGATGAAGGCAGTGGAGAACTTGGGGAGGGGAATTAACATGAGATAACTGATAATTGACATCCATTTGACATGGCACGTGGATCTAGAACAGTCGTCTACCCCAGTGAGCGAAATAAAGGGTTCAGTTCGACATTCTAACCACCAGAAGAAGGCCGGAGCGTATAACAACAGAAACGCTGCAATAAATATGGCGACAAAGATGAGGACAATAGTCCGAATAATGTAAATAATGTACTTTCATTATCATTATTTTCCTCAGGAACACTTGAAACATCTTTGGTAATCAGGAAAATTAAAATTTTAAAATCCAATAAACAGGAATTCTCAATAGAATAATTTCTTTTTTTATTACGCACTGACAGTATGACATTAAGTATGGAATATTGTTAAGAAAATAATAAAATTACCTCTTTTGTTTACTGTGGAATATTCGAAGCAATTTTGGATAACTAAGAAATAATATTAAATCTTGTTTTTCGTACGAAAAACAATTGTTTCTTTGCAACTGAAATTTAAATTTCAAAGCACGTACTTAATGTAATATTTCTTAATTTCTTTTAAAACAGTTTTGGGTACAAAGTAAATATGCTTTGTGGTTTTGATTTTGTACCATTACCTGCCTAAGTCGTTGTGAAATTATTACAAAAATAATTTGCTTTATGTTAGCTTTTGAATAAAAATAACGCTAACACAATTTGCTTGCATGACGGTTATAGAGATTTTCCAAGCGTAGCTTAAATGTGGCACAGGGTCGAACGTATGGAACATCCTGAGTTTGTTCTAGCGAGACAAGCTCGCTAACCATTATATAGCCTCTAGGTGCCCTTAATGATTTTCTAATCATAGCTTAGATGTGGCACACGGCCGAGAGTGTGGAGCATCCAATGAGGATCGAACTCGCTATTCAGTCGCAACTGTCTT